TGTTTTTTTTTTTTTTTTGTGTGTGTCTATGACCGTGTAGTTTTCTTAACTATTGGGAAAAACCGGGAAAAAACTTTAAGAAAACGGACAATTTTACGGCATTAACGATTTCATTATTTATCGTTTGGTTTTCTTTTATATAATTTTTATTATTATTATTCTTGTTATAATAATAATTACTGTTAATTTATGTTTATTAATGTTTGTGTCATTATATCATAACTAATTTAATAACAAAGATAATGAATATAATAATAATTATTGTCTTTAATAAAGACAATAAGTATTATTATATATTTTATTTAACATTAACAAATTATTAGTCACACACAAAACGTCTCACACAAAATAATACTGATAAAATAATAATGATAACACTAACTTATTACTTATCACATATCCTCCTTAAAAAAATTCACTAGACATTTAACTAATATAATGACATTTATAACAAAATTACATTTACGACATCATGCAATTTATAACTTAATGAAATGTATTACATACTAAAATTTATAAATTTATTACATGGTTATATGATCTTATAAATCTAATTTATTAGGTTTGACTACTTTCTTACTTATATTCTGGATTCATACATGTTTTGGTTTACCTCATTAACAATTTTATAGTAATGTTTTATAGTATTTAACTTATTAGACTCTTCTCTTTCACTCACTATGTTGCTCTGGATGCCTTGCTCCCTGTTTTCTTTTTAAAGAAAAATTGTATCCCGTCTTAATAGCCTACCCTGTTCGTTCTTCACTAAATAGGATCTGGGTTCATTTAATTTTTAATTATTGTTCCTTCGTGCAAATTTTTCGTAAACTTATTTTGTATATAAAATATTCATCCCCTTCAAAACAACTGATACTTCTATTTGATCTTCTCTTATAATACAACGCTTGTTTATTCTTCTCTCAAGAACCGTGTTTGTAATTCTTTGTCGTTGATTCCTAATACAATTTGTGTTTTCAATAATTTATCTTTACACAGCTCAACGTCACAGATTTTTACTGGCTTATGTAGGTCTGCATAGAACTGATCAAATTTGTCAGCTTTTTGCTACTTTCTAGTTAAAAATTGAAAATTTTCCATAATTTCATTTCGACGAGGAATATAATATTTTTCAAGCGCTTTTAGGAAGCTGTCGACCGTCTGATCCTCAACAGTGAGTGCTTCTAACAATCTGTTACCATCACTATCTAGTAAGTTAAGTAAACGTGCTACTTGAATTTCTTTTGATTTTTTTTTTGATTTGTCTCCGTAGCCCAAAAGTAAATTTGTACCACGTACTTAAAACATTTATAATTATCACTTATATTTTCAATTAACGCCAGAACATCGGGTTTGTTGAACTCCATTCTTAGTTAGGTATGTACTCACCGACCATGTGTTTGGTAATTCATCCACCTCATCCCGAATTTGAAACGTTAGATTATTGTTTCACGTCGACTGCGCTATGTTATTATTATTCTCGTTATATTAATAATTACTATGTTATGTCTTTATATCATTTGTCTTTTAATAAAGTTAATATAATATTATATATTTTATTTAACCTTTAAAAAAGCTATTAGTCACACACAGAGCGTCTAATGACACACACACCGCTGCGGCGTATATAATTGAGATTAACAAACACATTAATACTAATAACATAGTAATGATAACACTAACTTATCACTTATCGCCGTAATTTTGCTAAACATTTTTACAGAATAATTATAATTAGCATTTTTTCGACTTGGAACAATTTTAAATAAATATATACTCGTAATTTTGGAACTATTTATTGGGTATTTACAAGTATTCAAATCGTATTCCAGTGAAGTAAATGCAAAAGTAAATGTGATAACTTATTGCGAATCAGATACAAGTTATACATGCGCACTACACTATACAGATGTAATTTTCATGTTTTGTTTTTCTCTTTGGCGTAATTCGTTACAATATAATAATTTTGTATTTTTAGTTTACACTGTCCCGTGTCATAAATAATATAATTTCCATCACTGTTATAATAAATTATCATCAATCTTTTGATATTTCGATTTCAATATTTTCCGTTGTCGTTGTATGCAAACTCAAAATTGATTAATCGATACTTAGATTAAAAATCATAATTAGGCTCATTTTGTAAGCCGGACTAATAGTTGTACAGTGGCGTGATCCTCTTGTATTGATAGACTCTGATGATGTTCTAAATTAATTATTACGAAAGTCAAGGAAAATATATGCGGCAATTATAACGTTTTTGGCCGAAATCAAGTGCATATTACAATGTATTATTTAGGAAGGTATATTTACTTAAAAAATACTGACCCCCTCTCCCGCAGTCGCCCAGCCCAAATTACGTCACTGCGGTTAAAGTGTATATTGACGATGGCGAACGTAAATATTTGAGTATTTTTTTTTTTTTTTTCCCCCAGTCCTAAGATTGGTTAAATGATAATTGATTATGTCACTCTCCATTTTTCGGCGTCTCTTATACCTACTTTTCGCTCCCTGCGCGTGTACAAATTCCGGTGTCTTCCGCCACCGGTGTTCATTCACCTGAAAACCTCATCGTAATAACGGTGTGTTTTAAAACGTGGACACCTACGGCGGTAGGTGACGGGCGCTGGGCGGGAGAGGTTAGGGATTACATGCCCCCGGCGTCTTATTTCGATACGCACAGCTACAGTGAGCGGGGCGATATTTTAACAGAAAATAACGCGGCCGACACCGGTTATTCGGCAGACAATTAACGATGCGATACGATACCGCGCGGCGACGGTTACACGACGTTCGCGTCGAATTCGATGTCGGCCACCGTGTTTATCGAGCGCGTACGGCCCGCCAAATCGCCACGGGCCCGATCAATTATTTTTCCGTTTTCCGCGCTCCTTTTTCACGTTCGGCGCGCGCGGACGACGGCGCTCGTCGGAAACGCCACGCGCACGCTCGTTATGCCCGCCGCCGCCGCCGCGCCGCCGCGGTCGAGTACCGTTTACGCACACACGCGCGATATTATACCTGTAGTACACACCCTCCCCCACCAACCCCATCCACGCGCCCCGTAACCGCCCCCGGCCGAGGCTGCGGCGCGGCCCTTTATCTTTAAGTGCACACTCGCCTCCTATCCCTTCACATCCCCGCCGTCCATCCGCCGGCCCCGACCCGCTCCGGCGCTGCGCCGTCGGGGCAGCGCGTTATGTTGTTGCGTACACCGGCGCTGCTGCGTAGGCAGGTATACGCGCGCACACAATAAATCAACCCGCGGCTGCGACGTCTCGCGCGGAATCCTTTTCGGCGGCGGCGGCGGCCGCGGGGGGGGGGAGGGGGCTCGGCGGCGCGTACGTACCTGTACATGTATAAGGCAATGACGTCATTGCGAATAATATAATAACGCTGCGAATTTCTCGCGGGCGTAAGGTACGCTCGACATTACTCGTAAAACATAATATTGCGTATACGCGCGCATACAGGCCGATTCTCTTATCGCGTGTGCCGGCGATTTTCTCGGGGGATTCTTCAAGAGATTCCGGCGCTCGCGTTTCGTGTTGCTTTCGTTAACCGTCCGGGACTCGATTCAACGGTATTTTCAATTTCTCACCCGTATTCCTCGCGCGTGCCCGAAATGAAATATCCGTTTTGGATTTTTAACAGCCTCTACCCTCCCCCCCCCCGAATTTCAATCACGGGTAACGAATCGCGTAATATCCAATTGTGTACGATAAATTCCACCGGTCCAAAACTTTAAACCGTCATGACTCGTATTAAACGGTAAATCTGATATTAGCGTTACGCGCATCAACATTTCCCCATTTGAATCCGTAATTGAATGGGGGGAGGGGGGGTTGCTGCTTAGAAATTCAAACTGTTTATTCGTTTCAGGTACTTAAAAGAAGTAGGAATAACGAATTGAAAATAGTGTTGAAATAAAGCTTGAGCGATTGCACGATGATTAAAAACAACAGAAATCAAATTCGCGTTAAATCCTCCCAGAAAATTGGTGATTGACGAAGAAAGAATCATGCTGTATACAGTATATGTACAGACGCCCTTCGAAAAATCGAAAACGCAAACGGTCGTATTTTACCTACTCTGTAGCTGTGTACTATATTATATTATTGTATATTCGCCCGTTCGGATCGCGAGGTTACAAGTATATTGCACGTATAGAAAATATATAGGTATGTTTTCGTTTTGTTATCCGGTGACGGTTTTATTATACCACCCGAACTACCTATTATTATACCTATAGTATATTGTTTTTTTTTTTTTTTTTAACTCACTTCGAAAACGTGGAGGAGGTTACCTAATATAATGTATACATATACGGGGTGATTTTTTTTTTTATCATGAACCGGCAATTATCTTAGAGATAAATCTGATATGAGTGTTAAAATGATCGTAAAACGTATCGAAATTTCTAAAAAAAATATTTTAATCCGTGTTCAAAATGAGGGTTCCAATTTGAAAATCAAAAGTACGTACTCGTTTAACGTATATGGAGTAGGGGTGACAAATTAAAAATGATTTTGAAATAAAGCTTAAACGATTCCATAAAGATTAGAAAAAACAGAAATCAAATTCACTAAAAATCATATAGTTAATTAGATAGAGATAATTGCTGGTTCACGATAAAAAAAATCCCCCTGTACATCGATTCGACAATTTTTTAATGTACCTACGTTATTGTTCTTATTTTTTTCTTTTAGAAAGTTATAACTCTATACACGAAGGTCCTGCACAGAAATTTTAGAGGGTAGGTTATGAATTGGAAAAAGAAAGTTTTATGCATTATAATATCCAAGCATGTAGAATTGTAGACAAATAACTGAGGAACGGATTTTTGTCGTGTTGGATGGGGTGGTTACATATTTATGATCTTGATAAAAAAAAAAAAAATATATGCATGATCAAATTGTATTGGTACGTACACCAATCCACTCAAATATTTTTTCATTTCATCTATTATTGTAGTTTTCCCACTTCTTATTGGCTGACATCATAAGAAATTCTCGATAATAGTGGATAACTACGACATATTATGTTGCTTGTGGAGAAGATGCGTAAAACGGACGTAAACGTAACAATCTGTAAACACTTTGACGTTATATATTTAAAGAAGCCAATACTGCTAATGGGTATGCCACTACAGTTTTAGGTGGGAAATCGAAAGGGAGTACACGTAGAGCGATTTAATAAACCATTACTAACGATAAACGATTGTGAGCAGAGAATTATTGTTGTCAAGGTAATTCAGAAATCAACATAAACTATAAAACAAATTGACGGTGTCGCTATAAGCAAGTTCCTATAAATCGTTTGATTAGAACAAGACTTCTGGTTGAAAAGTTGTTTACAGACATAAAAAAAAAAAAAATACATCACATCATAGTAAAACCGATATTATATCTTCGTTTCTCTTAGAATCGAAAATATATTACAATACTTACTTGTTTTTTTCCCCATTTTTTGCTTTCTTTACGTTATTTCTTTTTTCATTTAGGTTTTTTCCTACAGTCATTATATAATAGTCTACCAGTGTCAACTTACTGCTGCAATTTATCTCGGCTCGATGTAAGCCTGTTCAATATTACCGCGGTCTACTAGATAATAATTTATTGGTAACGGTACGTACTTGCTATACATAGGCAGTTTTACTACCTGGCTACTGACTATACCATTATTACTACTTACTATAGGTTCCTGACTTCCGGATACATATAGGTAATAAATTAATAACTTCGACGTTCTTCACATTGATTGTATAATATAAACCCAGTCTTTTGCTTATTTTTTGGCGATTACATTTATGAGTTCAGAACTGAAGATGAATATTTTCTGATGACATTTGATAATAATCGTTATGTTTTTTAAATTGAATTAATAGTTATTAATTTAATATGACATAAATTATGTTGGTACGTTTTATTAATTAATTGTTAAGTACTACGTAAATTCAATTTTAAATAATAATATAACATGTAAAAAGACGGATATACTTCCAACGTGGGTGGGCCTCTGTTATAGGTGAAAAGCTGGCAAGGTAGAGGGAAAATAAAGGTATATTTGTACGCAACGATTAACCATTGTTAACGAAAAACGATTCTGAGTGGAATTCGATTCATGGTGTTGCAATATGTATGCCATATTATGGTAAAACAATTACATATATATTATGTACTATCTATATTCTCTAATAATATTCGTTTAATAATGTACTAATTTCCCGTTTTTTCTGCGGTTTTTCGTTTTATTGTTACCCATACGATAAAAAGACAAACACTGCCTATAAATCGCATTACAAATTCATTCAAAGGTACCCAAGCATCAGTGGTTCAGTGGTAGAATGCTCGCCTGCCACGCGGGCGGCCCGGGTTCGATTCCCGGCTGATGCAGTTATTTTTTGTTACTTTTTAAGGTTACTTTTGGTTAAGGGTTCATTTAACGATAGAGGGAAATGGGCAATTTTTGAGAGACAACTTATTGTATGTTTGGAAGGCAAAAATCTGTTGTGTATCAACATAGTAAACAAACACCTTTGTAGGCTTTTTTTTAATTATTCTTTAAATCTATAAAATCTATAATTCCATAATGATATGTATAGAATAGTAACTTTGTTTTGCTCGCGAGGGGCAGTTTAGCTTAAATAGTCAATTGCGCTGTTCGTTTTAACACGAAGTGTATATTTTTTCACATACATTTTACACTAATTATATAGATTTGACACCTATACATTTGATGATGTGTGTAGCATATTCCTTATCAAAAGCATACACTTCAAAAACAAAATAACAAACGAAAATCACTATTATAATTGGCCTCTCGATGCATCCGATGGACAACCAACTAATATAAGAATATAAACAAAAAGCAGTCCTATCTAGGATAATGGGTACGGGTGCAGCCACTGTTGTAGGTGAGAAATTGGAAAGGTAGGATATAGACGGTAATTTATTGTATAACTGTAAACAACGATTAATCATTGCTAACGAAAAAAAAAAAGATTTTTAGTGGAGTTATGTTGACAGTGTTGCTTTGTAAACAATATATACATATATCATATTATGATTAAATAATTATGATAAATAATTACATGTGTATTAGACATTTTCTTTAATAATATTTGTTTGATATTGTATCTGTTTTCTCGTTCTCTTGATTTTCCCATGTTTTTCCCGATTTTTTTCATTTATGAGGAAAACTCTTAGGAAAATCAAAAAATTATTTCCTCAACTTACCACCCTAGTCAGATTCTATCTCGGAAAAAGTTGTAGATCGAAGCCAAACTGCTGATAGAAATGTTGTTCACAGATTAAAAATCATTGTAAAACCAATACATTCCTCGCTCTGCTCAGAATATAAAATAAATTTATAAATTTATTTAAATTATATATACGATATAGCAACACTAAATAATTTAGCTCATTATATAAAACTCGTAAATACAAAAATTGTTTTGTTTATTTGTGTTACCCCGGTAACAGGGATGATTAACAAGCACCGTGACTGGATAATTTTATATAAGATAAGATTTTTGTTTATTCGAGGGTTGTCACGGAAAAAAACTATTATTATTATTATTATTACTATTATTTACATTATTTACTATTATTCGAATTTTTCAATGTAATACATTTAGTCCGCCAAAGGTGGACTACTTTTTTTTCCTCCTATTTGTTTTTATTAAATTCTTACACGATCAAAACCAAAAATGAATACGGGTGAAATAATAATAATAATAATACAAATTGGCACGAGCAATGCCGGGCGCGGGACAGCTAGTCTATACATAATACAAATCAAAAATACATAATAAAAACAAAAACGAATAACAAATAAATGTCGTTATATTAATTAACATTTCAAATAAAATAAAATATATCTACCTATATAAAAAAAATAAAAAAAAGAACCAAAAACTGTTATAATTATTAATGCTCAAAAATATAACAATAAAAAAAAAAATAAAAAAAAATAAATATTTATATGTATAATATAAGAAATGCAAATAAAATTGTTGAGGTCAACAAGGCAAAACATTACAAGAAATAATGACTAACAATAGAAGGAAAAAATTGTTATAGTTATTGTAATCAGAAAACATGAAACAAAAAATGCACCAGCAGCTTTAAATATATTAGTCATAATACTACCAAATAAATAATGTGTTTTTCTATTTTATTTCTTTTCTTTAATTCAAGTACATTTTTTTTTTTTTTTTTTGTAATAGTTATAGTTAACAGTGTATCAATGCTTCTTTATGCGAATGTATAGATTAAACTGATTAAAGAATAAGTGCTACAACTAGTTTGCGTACATTTTAAAATTTCCCAGTCTTCTTTTGTTTGCGTGTCGGTCAGTGGTATTTAAATTCTCTTTTTCTTCCAGAAATCAGAAATTTTTCAGTTAAAACCTAAAACTCGTTAGCACACAAATTATTGTAGGAGGAACCACTCGATTGCGTTCAAAATATTATAAAAATAACCACTTACTATACAATAATATACTATACAGAGTGTCATACAGTGTTATCCTTATGCTAATAATTATGTCAGTATTTTTTTTTTTTTTCAATCAAGCTTTATGCGAAGGGGACACATATGTAGAAAAAAATTAAATTTTTATTTTCTCCCCTTAATTATTGAACAAAAAATAACTTTATTTTATCACTTTTTAAAATTTTTAAAAAGCCATTATCTAGTTATATTTTTGTAAAAGATATTATTTAAATATTTTAATGTGACATACATTCATATCCGATCAATAGTTTTTTAGTTATAGCTGTTTTTGTTTCTAGAAAATTGGTGTGAAATAATTAATTAGTTTATAATAATTAATTTCAATAGCATAGCACGTTACGCGATAAGGAATCACAATTAGCACGGTAATTCCTAATCTTCTATTAAATTTTAATTTTTTATCACTTATTTTCTATATTAAAGCCACTATAACTATATTAATCGGATAAGAATGACGATACAATAAATACATACAAATAAGATGATACATTCAATTTTTTAGAATAATATATTTTACATGGCTATTTTGATAATTTTAAAAAGTGGAAAAATAAATTTATTCTTTTCAGTGATTAATACAAATACAAATGACAATATAAATTTAAAAATTACACAAAACCCAATTGAAAAAAAAAAAAAATGAATATTGACAGAGTTATTAGCATAAGTATAACACTGTTGGACACTCTATAGTTTATACGTAGATATTATTATATTTGTATACCTACACACATACAGATAATGGTATTGCTACTAATAAAGGATTTATGATTAAAACTAAACTGAAATTAAAATCAATACTAAATAATAATGTTAGTAACTGTTGTCAAAAAGAAATAATACAAATAATTGAATTGGTACAAATACCTACATAAACAATTCATGAACCACTTCCAATGTAAACCTTTGAAGTACCTAATTAAAACAAATGTAAAATAAATGACAAATTCAAATGATTGATTTCCCCCTTTTTCACCGTAATATATTACGTAATCATAAATATTTTTTAAACATATAAAGTGCATCAAAAGCACATTTTTAATCACACCAGAGAAGTTAAAATATTCTGCACTGACAGTCATAAGTCCGTAGAAGTTGGAAGGAAAATGTGTGTGCAAACGAACGGTTGCACGAGAAATAATCCATGTGTAAATAAATCGTGATTTTAGTAAATGTGCCCGAACTACGCGCGTCTCAGAATAAGTATTATCAAATCATACCGTTAAGGAAATTGGAAGCAACGAGTTTCTGCAGTCTTTGTCTTATACACGTGAGATATAGGGATTTAGACATATTCTAATTCCAGCGTACCAATTGATTTAGTGGTGCGATAAGAATTCTGGAAACAGATTTGAATTTGCCGTAAAGTTTACTTAAGATCGGTTTTCCCACTTTTTAAATTTATATCGTTAAATTATAAAAAAAAGGCATACTAATAAAAGAGTAATTGAAAAAATTTAACTGAATAAAAACTGAATATTTTAATTTTTTGAGAAATTGAAATCAAAAATCAAAAAAGTAGAAAAGTCGATGTCAAGAAGACTTCACGAAAAGTTTAAATCCGCTTTCAGAATTCGTATCCCTTCACTAAATCATTCGGTACGTTGGAAATAAAACACGTCGAAATCCCTATATCTTACGTGTGTAAGACAAAGGCAGAAATCCGTCGCTTCTAACCCCCTTAAATTTGTGTGAAAATGTATCAGTGTTATGTACATTTTTTATTACATACTTATTACAATGAATCAGTATTGATCGGTTGCCTATAGCTTACAAGTACAAATATCGGTAATACACATACGATTCATCTATATTTGAAATCCCATCTGGAATTAAGGTAATAAGTTCGGTAGACGTAACATAACAGCAAGCTATTAAAAGACGGTGTTTTTATAAACAAGATGTAAAAGGAGGAAAACTGTGGTCAATAATTCTATATATGAGTACGTGCGCGTGCATCGCGAAATGATAGGAAGCCGTAGCACGAGTTACGGTGACCATTCATCTGTTTAATCGCAAATAATGCGATGAAGTAGCTCGGTTTTATATAAATTGTATGCTTAAACGTAAACTTAGCAGGGAACGCGGGAGCAACCCGATTTCATTATTTATAAATATTCAGGGTACTTATTTATACGCGGCAGCTGAGAGAACGGCTCTGCAAAAATTTAGTGCCAGGTCAGTATATAAATATGCAAAATGGGGTCTCTAAAAAAAAAAAAAAAACAACTAATTTTATGCCTTTTTTTTGAAACACATTAAATTTGATAACATCTGCGTGTACTTTTTTTTTGTGTGTATACCTATGCAATAAAAAGTATTGAGAAGGGTCAACAACAAAAAAAAAAAAAAATTGTAAACAAATAAATGTATGCATCGAATTTCCAAAAATCTAACGTCGAATCCAAATTTATTGCAATACATTTTAAAAACCTACAGAGCTCAAAGCTCAAGCTCTTCGTAATTTAAGTCTTTATTTACGCGCATGGCTGAGGTTGAGGTTTAATTCTAAAACTGCCTAAATGTGCAAACAACATCACAACAACGCGGTTCTGTATAATATCAAAGTGGTCGTGTAAAAATATAGAAATATGTGCAAATTTAAAACACCGTCAAAATGTCTAAAATATTATTTGGCAATTTATTATATATTGAATTTTATTGTTCCGATTTACAAGTGTGTCATTTTTTCTGAAAGAAAATCTGACTAGACCTCTCTCTAGAGGCACTTTAAGGAGGTCATTTTTTTTTAATTTTCCACACTCAGAAATTCGGTGTTGATTTTACACTAGGTGGTGTTAATTTAATACACAAATGTGTGTTGATTTTAAGCTGGGAGGGGCTTGGTATTGATTTTACATTAAGCTATAGTTAAATTAATGATTATTCGTTGCTATAGTAAGACTCATAGTGATAATCGGTTAATTTGACATAAGTTTATTTTAAGATAAAACACAGTTTATACCCTATCTGTTGCGACATAATAATAACTGATGGTGATGTTAAAACCACTAAATGGAATGTTGAAAAAAAAATCTTCAAAGTAAAAAAAAAAAATGGTACGGCTGTTCCACAAATTTTCTAATCATTAACTCACGGATAATTAGTCCAAAGTATATCACTATGCATATCGTTTCCGAGGAAGACATGATATTACGCATCAGTTAGTTATGTTAGTAGGTACATATTTTTGGTGGAGAATTTTTTATTTCATTCGTACCATAATCAAAAAATTATATACGACAGTTTAAAACTGCAAGAGAAATATTTTAAATTAGTTAGAAATCATTGTTCATTGGAATTCGTGGATATTACAATAGTTTATGTGAAACTGGCATCAAATCTTGACGTCACTTTATATAGAAAATTAACATCACGGATAAATAAAACTTCTCATTAAACACATGAATATTGAACACGCATTGTAGGCATGATAATACAACACAAAATTAATATTATGTTTTCTTTTTTTCTGTTTAAGCATTTATAGGCTTTAACTGCTAAGGTTATGGACCAATACAATTTATTAGATTACTGATTAATTTTGGGAAAAATGTCGTTACATTTGAGATTCTGAGTGGAGCGAAGAAGCTTATGGTTTTACAAAGATTGTTTTTTTTTTTTTTTTTCTATAATGAGGTCATTTTTCGATTTTCTCCAAAGTTTTCTCAACAAATATGAAAAACCGAAAAAAAAAAACGGAGGAAAACTGGGAAAATGGTACATTGAACAAATATTACAGAAAATATATAATGCCTATTTAATTGTTTTATCATAATATGACATACATTGTTGACAAAGCATCACTATCAATTGAACTCCGCTCAGAATCGTTTATTCGTTTGCAATGGTTTATCGTTGCTTAGAAGTACACATTAAATTACTTATAAAGGTGGCTGCACCCGTCTCCATTATTCTAGGACGTCTTTTTTACTTATATATTTTGTCCAGCGAGAGAACGCTCCGCGGCCCATGCGCGAAATACGGTGGTGTTTCTTTGTAAAACATCTCTGTAAAACCAATACATTTTTCGCTACACTCGGAATCTAAAATTTATGTCGTTGGTCCTTCTTGCACTAAACCACAAGTATACCACCTATATATATATATACATATTATTTTGTTTATCTAAATTATTTTCATACGATCCCAACAAAGCTTTTGAAAATCAGACGACCCGGCGACAAAGCAACCGAAATATTCGTTTAAACAGCATTATTATCGCGGACTGTAAGGTTGCAGTGTTGTTGAAATTAAAAGTATAGCTAATGTAAAGAAAAATTAAGTCGAACAGAACCGCAGTCTTCAGTGTGTAGGACATTCGCGTGGTTCAGCATAATAATAATATGTTCTAACGTTAATGATTGCGTAAATGTGTTGTACTTGAGCTTTTATACATTTAAAAGTCTTAATAAATCATCACGTTGAAACAACAAGTTTATTTATATTATAATATGCTTAGTGTTATAAAAAAAGTTTCTCGACGTTTTAAGTGCCCGTAAAAATATTATTATTATTATCATTACGGCTAAAATTATTTGGATAAATATTGTACGAAACAATTATGTTATTATACTATAATAAATATTTATAATATACCTATACATTTTTAAATTTCAGCCGTGTTTAACACTATCGTGCGTTTTGTAGAAATATGTATGCAAATTTTTTTTTCAAGTGTAGTTCTGTGTACCCTTTAAGAGTCCCAAAACTTTTTTAGATTGAATTAAAGAAATTATCCTGTTACGTAGTTATTATGTGAACTATTTAAAAGGCGGGATTCTTATGTACGGAGCAATTAAAATAGCACACGAAAAATACATTTTTCAAAAATTGTATGTATCTAAACTGATAAAAAAAAATAAAAATATTGTCAATTAATTAGTCGGTATATTCTGCAAAGAAACTGTTCAAAAATCATTTTACCAGTTTAACACCTCAT